TAAAGAAAAACTGTACCAGGAGAGCTAAACCTGAAAACCAAACTCACTGATATGAAATAAGAAATTTATTAATTTCTCCATTAAATCTGAACATATTCAATTATACACTTTTCCATTGCATTAAACATTAGATAAATTGGGAATAAAGTATATTATTTAATCATTTCTTATAAAATCTCCAAAATAACACTTCCATTGTAAAATTAAGTTTATTATTAGAGATAATTTTTGAATTTTATGTTACTAAAAATTTGAAATATTTATTGATGGTGGAATAATAAAGCATTATTAGCAGTAAATATGTGTATTTTCCTTATTCTAGAAGTGATACATTTTTAATTAAATCAATTTAATAAAATTGATTTTAAAAGTTGGATAATTTTATGAGCTGAAATATATTTTTGAACATTGTCATTTTTATAAATTTCAATTTATTTTAAAATACTGAAGCTGTAACCATTCAAAATGATGAAAAAGTTGTGTGTGTGTGTGTGTATATATATATATATATATATATATATATATATATATATATATATATATATATATAATATGTATAAATATGTATATAATTTAATATATGCACAAATTCAGGCATACACACATGATTAAATACTCATATGTTAAAAAAATTGCATTAACTTTTCTTTGGGCTAGCAACTTACTTTTTATATCTTGGTTACTCAATATTCATCAAAATAGCTGAAAACTTTGCTTTTTTTTGTTGTTTAAACACCCTCCTCTTGCTACATTCACATGAAGCCTGTATAAAATAACAATCAAACCAATGCTTGAAGAGAGGAGGTATGTGAAGAAAGACTGAATGACTTATCAATTTAGGCAACAGACATGCAACACACAGAATGTAGGTTTTTCTAAAGGTTCATATGATTTTTTTTTTTTTTTTGTCTGTTTATCACAAACTTACAGAGCCATCAAGGCAGAATCCGCCAATACAGGTATGCTATTGGCAGGGTGGGCAGAGAAATATCAAGTTTTATTTTATTTTTTTATTATATATATATAATTTCTGTTTGTTTTACTTGGAGGTAAAATAAAATACTTGCATTTCTAAGATGAGGAATCATTAAGATCCAGGAAATATCCTTGAACTTGTCAACTCATCTTGTTTTCACTTTTTTTTTTCAATACATAATGAAATAAAATAAACTTTAATAAATCATCTAACTAATGAATTAAAATAAACTGAAAATTCAAATTTTATGACTCTCATTACAATCTACTTGTGATAAAGTTAGTCAAACATTTTTTTTATTTACAATATCAAAATATTATTCAAACAGTTATGTATTTTCTTGTTTTTAATAGGTTCTTATTTCATTATAGGAGACATTTTTTTCTGGATTTTTCTACATTCAAATTTAATTTCTGTAATGTAATGTGGCAAACATATTCAACTGTTGACTCTCTCAACAATAGTTGTGATGCATTTATGCACTCCAGGTGTTTTATGTTACAAAGCACAATATGATTACTGTAACATGATTATTGAAATGTTCAGTTATTAATTTATAGGATAAAACCTTTTACTGATAATAAATAACAAGTTGATCATATTTTGCTTGATTTACAATTTCTCAGCATTCATAGACTTCATGAGTTCATAGGAAATAAGGAAACAATATTATTGATGCTTTCTTGCATAAAATGTTTTATATCATTTAACGACTTTTCTTCATTGTGAAATCAGATTAAATTAGATTTTGAAAACATTTAACAATTTTCTTATAATTAAAACAATTCTTGGTTGCTTTGTAATAGTTGATGAATGATGAAAAATAGAATTTATATATAAAGTTGCTGATATTTTTTTGATGGTTGATAAAATATCTTAAAACGATGACATGTAATTCACAATTACAGTTGTCATTTCTACTTATTTGAAACTATCATCCTGGTTGCAGTTAGGTATTGACTTTTTCTTTTAAGAAAACAAAATATTCAGAAGCTGTTTTTGTCTATCAAATTTTAACAGTGACTTTTAATATTTTTCTTTAATTATAGAAAATTGTTTGCATGTTTTTTTGTTTTTTTTTCTTTTCAGGTTTTAGCAGAGTATATAAAATTCAAACAAATCTGCTATTTACTTTTAAAATTTGAAAACTTAATTACTTTTATAGATAATTCATTAAAACAGCAGAATAAATATACAATGCTTTTAATAGAAAAAAGTATGCCAGAATTACTTAGTTTTATTAGATAATTTTTGGTACATATCTTATAGCTAGGATTCCTTAACTATTGATAGCTAAATATTATATTCTATTTCTAATAAATATAAAATATAGAGAATTCTCATACAAAGCTCTCAAAATTTGAGTTACACTGAAAACATATTTTTTTTCTAAATCATTTTTACAGGATTTGTATAATTCAACTGTGATATATATTTGTTTAAGGAGTATATTATGATTAATTCAAGGCATATCTATATTTCATAATATATCAAAGATTCATAATAATAGATACTATTTTCAAATGAATATTATAAAGGCATTTACCTTAAAATAAAAATATCTGAACATTTTTTTTTTATATTAATTTCTTTAGTAATATTACGTGTTTCAATAGGAAAACCCTTTTATTTAGCCACCTCCCACATTTCTTTAATATCTGACTGTTGCTACCTTTTTGCACATAACTGTATACTGGCAATACAAAAACAGGAAGTGTATCTTTCATAAAAAGGTATTAGGACAAAAAACTAAATTGTGACTCTGCCAAAAACCCAAGCCAGTGGCATTTTTATCCACTACCACACAACACATTTCTTCACAGGATTCATGTAAGTTCCTGGCTTACAATTAAAAACTTTTGCAAATTCATATGAATTCTGTAGAGTACCAATGACCCTGAAAAAAAAAAAAAAAATTCCATGAAAAGGGAGAAGATTCAGAGGTCAATTTTAATATTGGTTATTCAAAGCTTTAAATGATCATAGCCTCCAAAATAAAATTGCATTTTTGTGATTTTAAAATATTGATGTTTTCTTATTTTGTAGGATATTTGTTATTTTCATTATTACTTAATCATTTTCTGATACAAAAGAAAAGACATTATCACTCTTATTCATGCATTTACATTCACAAACCAACTACTCTGAATATATGTATATTCCACTCTTTTCTTTCACTGAATTCATTATCTTTCCTTCTTCTCTCAGCTGACGGTCAGATATCATTGAACACAACAGCTTTTATTTGATCACCAAAGTTAAGCAATGTTGAACCCTGTTAATACTTATCAGAACACCATATACTGTAAGCAAACACCAAGTATTCGAAATATGTTTTTGGCTTTAAATAACTCACAAACCGTTGATAACTCCTTAAAATCAAATCAATCTCTATATCACTTAATCTTTTCCATTCTTTTAATTCTACTTCATTGTCAACTCTTCCTTTTTCTTTTATTCCTCCTCCTCCTCCTCTTCATTTTAATGTTACTACTTCTCACATCATTGTCTACACTAATTTTTGGATTCTTCCTATCCTTTCGCTCACTGTTTCCTCTTCTATTACAAATTCATTCTTTGCCTACTTTAATGTTATATATAATTTTAATTAAACAGAAAATAATGTTAATGCTTTCATACTGATGCTGTTACATGCACCGAGAATCAATCATTTGATTGTTATATATTTTCTCCAGATTAGACACAACCCTTTTAAATTCATATATAACAAAAAAAAATATTGTTCAGAATCATGAGAGAATTTGAAGCAAAACTTATTTTTTGAAAATTTGAACTTATATTAAGTATCACCAAAATGGATGCACACTTTTAATAATGAAAACAAAGAAACACTGCTTCCACTTTACCATGAACATACTGAAAATTAATCTAATAAAATTCAAAAAAAGATTTGTTGAGAGTTGGTGCTTGGATAATTTGATAAAACATTATTTTATTCTAGATTTGACAGAAAAAATCTATAAACAACATTTTATTAAAAAAAATTACTTGTAATTTTTAGTACAGTTCTGAAATTAATCCAGTTCATACCAAGATGTTTTAATTAAAGACATATGAAGAAATAAAAAAGTTATAGTTTAATGCTATTTTCAAATATGAACAGGCGTTAAATGAAGTTTATTTTAACTATTTTTTTATACTACAAAAAATAAAATAATTTTTAAGTTTCATAAAAGCCTATAGAATAAGATTATATTCATAAACGATTGGTTATATGCAGTTACTTTATTTTTTTTAAACAAATATCTTTAATATCAGTTTCTAGATTAAATTACAAAGAAAATTTTTTTTAAAGTAGGATTGACAGTAAAAGACTACTGTTGTTGATTTATAACATTGACAACTACCATGTATAAATAACCATTATTTTCACTGTTTAAAGGAAAAAGTATCATTTTTAGAAAATTCAGATAAATTAGTAAATTTAAGTATTAATTATTTTCAAACTGTTCTCCAGCAAAAATATTGGATTTTTAAGAGATTTTTAAATTTATCTTTTCTTTTTTCTTTTCCTTTTTTTTTTCCTGTAATGGAAGTTTCATGAGTGACCATACCAATGTTAAAAAATGTCTAAAAACTAAATTAAATTATTTTTTATGGAAAAAAAGACGCCATTTAAAATGCGTTTGTGTGTGTATGTGATGCCTCAAATATCAATCAACGTTTTATTAGGCTAAGGGAGACAACTCGTCTCACAAATGCAACAGTTGTTTACCTTGGATTATGTTTTTTTCTTAAGTGAAATAAGAACAGAAATTAATGACGCTTGACAATGTTCTATTTTATTGGGTTTTATACTGTTGTGGCTGAAATGTTCAAAAGCTGTGAATTAGAATAATAATTAAATATGTAAATTTGGTAAAATACTAAATATTCTTTACCTGTTAAATTATATAAACATAAATTTAGCAAATTACTATTTTAATATTTTGCTCATCCTTTGATTGGGAGCTTCATTACAATTTCATTGTTTTAATAGTTACAAGAGCAGCAAATTTCTCACCTGAACCTGCCTGGACTGTGCGTTGTTGTCTGGATCCTGTTGATGGCTGCTTCGCGACGCATGGAGCCACACCACACCTATTTTAAAAAACATGACTATTATTTCACACTAAAGATGTTTAATGATTAAATTATAGAGTATTACGATGAACAGAAGCAAGTATAAAATGTTGCTTTTCCAGGAGTCTGGCTCTAGTCATTTTTTTTGTATCTGATACCAAGATTTTGTTAATTTGATTACAATCAAGTGACTAATTTTATTTGTTCTGTCAGTTAATAAGTTCAAACAGGTTTGCACGGGCTATAAATCTTACCTTGTGAAAATTTGATCAGCCCAATATGAATAGTTTATATACTGTATTTCTGATTGTAGCAAACAGAAAATAGTGAACTTCAATATATGACAGTTATCAGTTCAAAAACATTGTTTTTCTATCTTCACAAGCATTCCTCATTCTAGCATCACAGTATTTAATTACTTAGCTTCTTGCATATATGATAACTGAATTTTTTCAGAGTAAGTGTAAACACTGATATTTTTTAAAAGGGAATATTTACAGAAGTTTGTTACTGAATCTCTCCCAAACTAATTGTATTTTTAGCAGATCTGAAACTGCCTTCAGTTTCTTTTTATATTTATGACAACTATGTTTGAAAGATTTTAGTCTTCCATTGCAGAATAAGAAGAATACATAAGTTTTACATAAACTGCAAATATTGTTTAATAAGATATAAATGTTAGAATAATGCTCTACACTGCAAGTGATAAGAATTTTCTCCACTGGATGATATTTTCTTAGTTTAAACAAAATTTTTTGCAGTTTACCTGATATGAAAATGATAAATCTGCTAAAAACTTTAATATAAGGACTTTTTATTTTGTTGATGTAAAATTAAAAACACTGAAAAGATTTGAATAGCAGTAGCTGTTATAAAAGATCAAAACTTTAAATGATCTACAAATGGTAATTAATTTCAAAGATACCTTTTAATTTAAAACTTTTGGTGCTCATATATATATATATATATATATATATATATATGTGTGTGTGTGTGTGTACATACTAACTTGTGCAAAATTGAGGAAAAACAACTGGTCATGAGTGAATTGGGAAAGTCCTGGAAGGCTTCTTTCTTTCCGATTTTGCTTGGCTTCCCACTTCTTGTAGGCCTGAAATAATAGAATATGTTAGTAACAACCTAATATCTACACAGTGTTTGTTTATAAATTTAAGTTTATTTGTATTCAATTTTTTTACTTGCAACCCAGCAAAAAATTAATAAATATGAAAGTTGTATGATTCAAATAATCACATTGATGTTTTTTAGCTTTTCTAAGTGAGCTGACAAGACTGGTATTCCTTAACAAGTATTTATTTAATGAAATATTCCCTGACTAAGCAATTCATCAACTGAAGAATGCTATTAAGAGAGGTAATTAACATAACAAAAATGCCAAGGGAAGATAAGTATAGTACATTCTTCCCTTCTTTTTATTTATTTACAGTTCTTGATATCTCTTTGGCTTACGAATTTCCCATTTGGATCGTCTGGGTATCTCAGGATTTCTTGACATTACATGAGGTGGAGTAGCCTTTAGATCACTTGGAGAAGAAGTTGTAATCTCTGGGTTAATGATAGTTTGTAAATTGTTACTATCTACTTCAAGTTTTTCATCTGAATTGCTTTCATTAGTGGATGTAGAATCATCTAAATCTTTCTAGAGGTTATCATCTATGGCTTCCCCACTTTGTAATGAATTCTTTGCTGGTGCTAAGTCACTTACAGATACTGTAGATTCATGTCCATTGGCATATCCTATGTGTTTGCTTTCAGTAATAGTACTTCATCAACCAATGGTTCATGTTTATTGGCTCATACATGGCAATGCAAAAGAACAGGTCCTGGCATAGATAACAAAGCAGGTAAGAAATGGCCGCTGGGAATTCACCGTTTTCAAACATTTTTACCAATTCTGAATCAAGAGGGAATAAGCTGTTATTAAGGGTCTCATTTTGTCAGAGAACTTGGGTATCCACTGAGAGTAGTTAGAGAATAATCCAAGCACTCGGCACAGTGAGGTTTTTTTCTGAGGAACAGGTAGTTCTCTTAATGGTCGTAGACTTTCTGCATCAGGTTTAAGTAGGCCATGTGATATGTTGTAGCTGAGAAAATCAATGAATGATTTAGAGAAAACAGATTTATCTTCGTTGAAAACTTTGCTTGTAGGTTTTATGTACAGTTCTTTCAGACGGTTAGCAGTATCAAAAGTATTATATTCCGCAATGTATTTATATACATCTGAGGAAATACAATTTATCAGGGTATCGAGTTTATCTAAGTTGGTAGGGATGTTAAGGTCAATAATTTTGTATAGGAACTGCGAGAAGCTTCGAAACCAATGGTTAAAATTCTTACTTGACGATGGTGTACTAGAAGGGGTGTCCAAACATTCTGGTTTCAAGTGTTTATCCATACTGTTGAATTTGTTTCGTTAAATAAATTGAAATGAGCTGGCAAGACTGGTATTCCTTAACAAGGATTTATTTAATGAAACATTCCCTGACTAAGCAATTCATCAACTGAAGAATGCTAGTAAGAGAGGTAATTACCATAACAAAAATGCCAAGTGCAAATAAGTATAGTACACTAAGTAAACTCTAATTCAGAATAATATCATTTACTCAGAATTTCTTAGTTTTCCAAATTGTCTGCTGTTTCAGATTTTGTTTTTCATATAAGTTGAATTTGTCAAACATGTCACATGATTTTTGCACTGTGATAACCATATTCATATTTTTTCAGTACATTACCTTTTTCTTGTATTCAAATAAACTTGCATTTTTTTGGTCAGAATGCATGGACATAGGTCAAACTTAGAACTTTTCAGTACCCCTTCATATGTTAAAGGTGAAATTTATGCAAAAGAAATAAAATATTTTAAAATCTGACAGTCTAATGGACTGAGAACATGCCAACCTAGATGCTGGTTACAATCTCTTGACATCTGATAGCTGTCACTTAGGTTTTATTTCTAATTAAGGGGAGACAACCATTTTCACCAACCTAACAGATATTTCCTGACATGTGTAGCTTATATCCAGCGAAATCTAATAAAAAATATTTTTACAGGCTATTGAAGATGTAGAAAAAAGTGTCTGTAAAGAATATACATGTCAAATTGACATGTTTAGTACAGCCTGTAATAAAAGTTCATAAATTCAAGCTAGAGGAAAATATTTTTCAAAACAAAAATCATTTGGGGGTACAAACATGACAACGAATATCTTGGTACTAATAGACCAACAGAGTCTCAACACCATCTGTGGGCAACACATAATGCCATGTTGCATCGAGAAAGGCAGGTTTCAACCTATCCAAGGAAATGTTCTGAGCTACATTTTTAATGTGCACATAGTAAAATATTTCTTATTTCTCTTGAACTTAAAGGGTCCACTATAAGGTGGCTGTACAGAGTATGCCTTAACAGTAACATACAAACACGAGTACACATTTTGAAACATGGCTGCTTTTTACATTCCAGAAGAGGGTTGCATGCTAGGTTTGCCATTTTGACTGTCCTGTGATCCACAAAAGTAATATCCATGTCCTCCAGTGGAGATGGAAAGAAAAATTGTCCAGGAAGCCTGAGCAAAGTGCCATACACATTCACTGCAGTATGAAGTCTTAACAGAACTAAGGGTAAGGTTTTCAAGCCAATTCAATTGGTCACCATGGCCTCAAAGCTGATTTTAAACTTCAATGGAATCATTCTGCCAGGCCATTTGATTCTGGATAGTATGCAGTTGTGCAAATTCATTTACTTCCCAAAAGTTTTGTCAAATCACCAAATAAACTGGATTTGAACTGTTGCCTTCTGTCTGTGGTAATGACACCTGAAATGCTGACTCAGGACATCCATCCTGATATAAATTCATTTGCCATGGTATGGACATTAATATCCACCATTGGGAAGACTTCACATCAGCAAATATGTATATCCCTCACAAGGGGATAAGAAACCAGTAATATCATTCATCTGGAAACAGAAATGGATCAATAGGTGTTCATGTATGTCTCCCATTTTTTTGCTTTTTGAGACTGTATTCAAGATCTTTATCACAGCTGGATATTTGACTTCATATCAGGCCAGATTGAAGAAAAGGGTGACTGGATCAAAAGGATATTTTTCGAGTACAGATGTCACATTCTAGTGAAGAAGAATTATCTTTGAATAGTTGTTAAAGTAGCTGATCTTTCTGCTGTCTCTGTGCACAAATGTAACAAAATGTCATTGAGAGCTCTGGACATCAAATCTGCTGGTATGTTATCAACATTCTTCAAGTGTCTAATGTCAGGTAAACTGCAACAAATAGTCATATTTTTCAGAGCTCAAATGGAATGCACCAACAAGTGGTTTGTGGTCCGTCAAAATATTACAGTGATGAACAGTGGCATAGTTCTCTTCCAAATTTGCTGTATCTATGCTGGGTACTGGTTAACTTTTTGAAAAAAGAATGAAATAAGTTTCCAGCAAGAAGAAACTTTCTTGTAACACTGCACCAATTCCTACAATACTGATGTCAACTGCTAAATGCAAATCTACTTTGGGAAGGGCATGCCAATTCAACAGTTTTCAGTAGAGCTGCATTTATACTACTAAAGGCAGTCAGCGCATCACCTGACACTATAATATCACAATTTTTTTTTTCCACATTACTATGAAGATTAGTGACAGGTTGGATGACTCTTGTACAGTTAGGTATAAAACAGCAATAAAAATTTGCCATACTTAAAAATTGTCGCAAATCTTTCATATTAGCAGGCACTGGAAATTGTAATATTGCTAGCCTTACTAGAATGGGAAGTACCAGTTGCATTTATATGATGGTCCAGAAATGTAACTTTTGTTTTGCCAAATTTACTGGGATTTATTGCAGCCCTAAGTTTACTAAATATTTCTAGATGATTTGTGTGTTCACCCTCTGAAGAGCTTTCCACCAAGACATTGTCTATATAAGCACATGAAAAATCCAAACCATGTTAAATATGTTATGAAGACTGAAAAGTCAACATGGAGATGGATTTACCCTGTATAATTGCAGTGATGTCATAGATATACAGAATAAGGTGCCTATCAGGTCTGGTGATAATATTAAGTGCACGATAATCACTGTGTTACATTGGTCTCACACTGCATGGAGGGAAAAATATTCTGGACCACTTTTACTGTTAGGGTCTCTAAGGCAATGTGTTCTGATGTCTACAAGCCATAATGGTTGAGAAAAATTAGCCCCTAGAAGTGATTTGTGAATATCTGCAATAATGAGAAACCAACCAAAATCTCGCCTCAAGCCCAAATCGTTTGTTTCTAGCTGTAAGTCTTAATAAGAAATATTTACCACCTGTAAGGTTAATTTGTTGACTCTACTGCATTCATCTATATTAGTAGCAGGCAATAATATTTGTACACTGCTATTAAAAATTTGAAACCCATAAAGTTGTCAAATATTCAGCAGGTGATTTTCTTTTTGTTTTTGTAAGACCACTGACACCCATATTCATAAAAGGTTGCCATCTTACAAGTTTTCTGAAATCTTAAAATCACATGAAGTGTAATACGAAAGTGTCTTATGACCTTATCTGTGGTGAAGATAGCACATGGAGGGTTTTTCCCCATTTCAGTTTTCACTGGCTATAAGAACATCCACTATCCCTAGATTTGTAATAATTATGACTATCTCTGTCTTGGGAAATATTTTATCCCTGGGTGGTGGAAGAGAAGGCAAAACCCTTTCCATAATGTTTAGTAGTGTCCAACTTCAGATATTTCTTATACTTAAGTGAATTAATTTTGCTAAGGAATCTAGTTCAGAGACATGCACATGGTTAATTGCAATATCTCTTGACATTGTCTGCCATTTCATCTACAGCATCAGCTAATTTTTCCACAGTGGCCAACAGCAACTAGCAGCAGTTGCCATGTCTCTGGCAATCTGATCAAAAATGTGCTGAATTATTATAATTTCCAACTAATTATTTTAATCTCTTCAGAAATTGTGATTGATTTCATTCAATCATTTTTTCCTCTGATAACAGTTGCCCAATCTTTTTACTCAGAAACCACAGTCAGACTTATTTCATTTTTTGAATACCTCAAACAAAAGGATTCCGAGCCAATAGCATTTATTTCTATGTAGGTGCAGACAACCATATTTACCAACTCAACAGGACTTTAATTGAACTCCTGTAATATAAAAAGATTTGTATTATCAAAGAAATTTTTAAATTTGTAAATACATAAATTTTGTATTTTAATCTTTTAAACTTTTATGAATTTCTGTTAACTTATTACTGTTACACTGCATCAATAGTTTCTTAACAATTTAATATATAAATATACCTTCATTATATGTGGAAAATTGTGACAAACTTACACGATATGCCTGCTTCAGACCACCATTGTCGGCAATGTTTTCCCCTTGAGTGAGAATACCATTTAGCTTAAAGAAAAAATTTCAGAAACACAAGTTGGCATTTTCATCTGAATGACAAAAGGCATTAAATTTTGTTTGTATCAATAAATCCATAACCTAACTTGTTTATTAAGAGTGGATATCAATTAGGGTATGATAAGTTCCCAAAGTGATTTTAAATAGATATTTACTAAGCTTAGCATAAGTCTGGTGCAAGTCTTTGCAAGTTCAGCACTCAGTGAGAATTGAACTCATTATCATATTAAATAGCCTGTAGAAGTTTGATAATCATTCTATAGCAGTTGCTCCAAAAATGTTGTGTACAAACCCACAAAATATAGAAAGGGCATATACAATATACTACATTATTGCAAGGAAGCTGTTTACAATATAAGCAAATAAAAAGTTAAAACTCTTTCAAACTTGGTGACAGATGCCAGTAGAGTACAAGATCCAATGGTGATTACCTGAATGAAATTGTGGAGAAAATTCTTGAAATACATTTATAAAATGCAACAGTAGAGGTCATCAGTGATGTTACCCAGACCTGTTAACAAGTTGCTTCACCACATAATTCACTCCACGATGTGATTTTAACAATAATATATTTATTATATCAGGAGGTAGATCTTACTTTTATAGTGGCATTGAGATTTGCATTAGCCAAAATTATCAAATATAAAATATCACATTTTAGGTTAAGTTTTTCTTTTATGTATAAGAGACAAATTAATTTGTATGTACATCCTACTTATCTTAAATTGTAGATATTATACATTTTACAGACTTTAAATATCAGTAGAAAATTTATCTGCTGATACTTAAACATTAAATCCATTTGGTCTGCAATTCCATTGATCTCAGAAATCAGTGACAGTGGGTAACTCAGATATTTTTGGGTTTCAATCTTAGAAAAAAAAAGTTTACATACAATTTTTAATCGTTTTGTTTTTATTACATTTGAGAGAACCAAGATTATAACTTGTGATTTTCCTGAAGTAACTAATTTGAAATTGTCAGAATTTTTCTATATTAATTTAATTTTGGTAAAATGTACTTAATCTATCATAAGTATTGTACCATTTGTGATATCAAGAAAAACACATGATTTCTATATAATCATTATTCTCTGTATTTCACAAAATACTATAAATTTTACCAACTTCAGCTTAACATATCCTTTAGAAAATATGTACAAGGTGCAATGGATAAATTGTTATCAAAATTACGCAAAAATGAAAATAATGCTGACCTCGCATTTTAATAAATATTTACCAAAATTACACAAAAATATCTTGAAATACTAAAGAATAAATTTATTCAATAAAATTGCCATGGGCTTCAACCATGGCATCCTGCAACTCTTCTGGATGGTCTCCTTGTTAGTGAATGCTGCCATAATCCTTGCCTTCAGTTCATCTTTGGTGTTAAAGGAATTTTGTTGGTCTCTCACTCAACTGTGCCCCACACATAATAATCAAGGGGGTTGCAGTCTGGGGAGGTAGGTGGTCAGATGTGTGGTTGCAGAAATTTGACAGTGATGACTGAGTTCTCCTGATTGTGTGGCATGGTGCAATGTCCTGTTGCCAGACATAGGGTCTTCCAGCAGCAACCCTCTTGACACAGGGAGCACTACTTGATGTAGGTCTGAGTGTTGAGTCTGAATCCTGGTTGGAAGATGAATGGAGGCATGATGTTGACTGGATATATCATCCAACTCTTTATGAATCCTCTGAAATGTTTGTACTGGACCATCCAGCAGAAATGCCAAGCAGTACAACATACCATTCCAAATTTCTGACAGTAAATTTTATCATGGTGTTCTTTTTCTCACACAGTGCTCAACTGACCCTACTATGCTGTGTAGCTGACAAAATCAAAAACAATGCACAAAATTAAAAATATAAAATGATGACAATTTACCCATCGCACATTGTACATTAACATGATTTTATATTTTGGGAGTAATAACACATAATGCAAAACATTTTTCAAACTGTATAAAGAAGTTCAACATTTTAGTTTTTCATCTCTTTATAAAAAAGATCTGCATCATTTTAACAAGGATAATTTTGGATTTAAACCATTGTCTCAGGTGTTGACAATATGAATTCTTCTATATTTATGAATAACAAATATTTTCTCTTTATATAATCTTTCTATATCAGCAATTTTTTCAAATTCTATCTTACATGAAAACATTGAATTTAAAGTTTTAAAAAGCAAGATAATTGAACATTGAAAGTTAGAGCATTCAGAATAGCCTACTTCATATTTGAGTGAATCTTTTCCAATATTGATTTTCATCCTTTTTAAGCAGTATCAGCAAAGGCTAAATAGTAACAATTATTATACAACTAAATGTACTGTGAATATAGTTGACCATTACTTCCATCTTTATTATTGTAAATAGTGTAGCAAGTCTCATTCCAAATTCAGAAGTGCCTGCAACTGCTACAAAAAAGTTCTGGAAAATGTTATGGTTAGCTAAGCACAGTTAGTCTAAGCTATAATTGAAAGGCTTGGTTCCTGTGATCTCTAGAGACTCATTAACAGGATTCTTAACATAAGCAAATCATTTGTGCATACTATTATTAATGGCCCTCAGATTATTTCATATTTGTTGGATAACACTTTGCTATGAACTTTGCCTCAAACTCCATACAAGATGAATAGGGCCATCCTCTACCTGTCTTCCCTCCTCTCATGAAGCAAAAGCTTTGTAATCTCAGACTCTCAGCTTAGGAAGTTTCCAGACCAATCAAAAACCTTGATTCTATGGAGGCTACTGGTCTGGATAAAATCCTTGTTGACCTAATTCTGGGCAAATGTTCTGAAGTGTCTCCAATCTTGACAAAGTTCTTTAACTACTGTTTGATGAGAAATGTTTGCCCAGTTCTCAAGAATGCTAGTGCATGTTCATCTCCATTGCTATATTGTCTTATAGAGCTCCTTAGTGCCATTAGCAACAATGAAGTAGTTGATCAACCTCCAGAGCAACACAATGTTTTGTTCCTTTAGGTTCACTGCTAATGTTTTTTTTATCATCCACAGAATCAGTGATGTGCTTGATGATAGCTTCATCATCTGAGTGATTGATTTATTTAAGGTGTTCCAATAACTTGGACCGACTTTAAATGTGAATTAAGTTTAAGCATCTAATGATTTTTTTTTCTTTCAGATTTAACAACTTAAATCTTTAGCAATTTCAACCATGGAAAAATTAAAAATCAAACATGTTAAAGTTATCAAAGCCTATTATGAAAATGGACGTTCAAATTTATAAATATACAGCCCAATGATTCCACTAACAAAAAATGCACACCAAACAGTGGCTTTCCAACAATCTTCCTTGGATTTTCATCAGCCCAAATGTGACAATTCTGCTTATTAACAAATCCACCAAGATGAAAATGATTTTCATCACTAAAGAGGGTTTTTTGTGAAAAATCTTCATCAGTTTGTCTTTGCTCATGCACCCAATTGACAAATGTACAGAGTTTCAAATGGTCAACAGGTTTCAGTTCTTGTGTCAAATCTTGAGACAAATCTTTTGTCAAAATTCAAAATAATGTTGTTGTGGAGAGGTTCAAATCCTGCATGATGATGAATAGAGGTATCTGGATTTTTGGACACATTCTTGTGCACTGCAGCAATGTTTTCAGCTGAACAGCATAAATGACCATGCAATAGTGTTTTCACATTGCTACTGACTTAGTCTGTTTTAATTTATGAACAATTTTTCCACTTGCACTCTTGGTTGGTCAATTATGTCAACCAAAAAAATTTTAAAGTGCATGAAATGCATTTCTGTTTGATTATTATCATAATAGGCTTTGATAACTTTTACATGTTGTTTGATTGTTAATCTTTCCATGGTTGAAATTGCCAAAGACTTCAGTTGTTAAATCTGAAAGAAAAAGTCATTAGAGGCTTAAACTTCTTAATTCACATTTAAAATTGATCAAAGTTATTGGAATACCCTATATATTACAAAGCTTCTGATAAAGTGTAGCATAGGGAGTTGTTAGACAAACTATCCAACCATGGAATCTCTGGAAGAGTGTACAAATATTAAAGTTCTTTCTCTCAGGTAGGTCTATGAAGGTTGTTGTAAATGGCTAGTCTTTTGAATCCCATGAGAGCAATGCAGGCATCTCACTTGGCTTTCTCTCCTCTGTCCTAGCCCCTTTCTGCTTTTAAATAAACATCTATGCAGATGACACCACAGTTCATGGATGCACTTCCAAAACTCAAGATGATCAAAGCATTGCAGCTGATCTCATCTCAGATCTAGTTTTAACAGCTCACTGATGGGGAGGGAGATTAACTGTCTTGTAACTTTCAATATCTCAAAACCATATTGATGTTTAATAGAGCAGATTTTGAAATCAACTGGCACCTCATTTCATACAGAAAGAAGTTATATCAATGATTACTGAAAAATTAAAATCATTAAAATATTTTTTGGTATCTAGTTTTAATGAAAGTAATAAATCAGTGTTTAAAGAACTTTTTTTTATATTCTTAAAAGGTGAAATGTATGGAAAAAAATAAATAAAAATCTGTAGGTTGTGGTGAATATTCATTTTACTTTAATTTAGATTCACTTATTTTTTGCCTAAAGTTGTGATGGTTACATATTGCATAAAATAACAGAAACAAAGAGATTGTATTTTATTTGCCACATGGATATTTCTATTCTCTTAACTACTGTCTGCACACTTCAGTTTCACTCTCTCAATATATTTGCTTCTCTCTCTCAATATATGCTTGCTAACAAAAATGATTAGTATTAAGCTTCTGATACTTGGTTTATATTTCAAGTAAGTGTAATGAAGGAATAAAATAATCCATGAAAACATATTAAAGAATATAATTTATTACTAAATTAAACTTTTTTGTTAATTAAAAAAAAAAAAGAAAAATTATCTACTGCTATAGTTGAGCTGATTACATACAAACACTGACACATGAAATACCTACATTCATTTCAGCTTCAGGAATGATATAGTTACTGTATTGGTCAACAATGCACTGAGTTTGGTTCTTAAACCTCTGAATGACATCGTCATCCCACCATTGCTTCAAATCACCATCCTTATCATATTGGCGACCTAAAAAAGATAATCAGAAAATAAAAAAGAAAGTTAGGCTAATTTTCTATTTTCTTTATCAACCATCAGCAGTCAAAGTTGGCATTTGTAAAATATGAACCTTGATTCAAATTTGGAAAGAATTTTTTTTTTTCATTTTTAACTTGCTAGCTATGTAGTAGTTATATGAGTGCAGAACATGAAATTGCAATCTAAAAATTCAGTTTGTTAGATAAAATCATTTTTCTACATGAAAATTTAATAGTATATTTACTGCTTTGTTACACTGTTTTGCTACCTTTCAAGCAACTTCATAATTCCATCCTTAAAGAACTTTTTGAAAAGTGCTCTAAGCACTTCTTGCAGTTTTCCAGGAAATTGAATTTTTTCTTCCATTTTAAGAAAATTCTGTTGGTAATACAAAGAAGGTGACTACAGTAGATAAAAAAAGTTTTTTCCTGGTTACTGAAAATACATGTCTTAATGTAATATTATGCCTTTCATTGATTGTTACCTTTAGTTAGTCATATGTGCAAATACTCTTGGGAAAGGTATAAATCCACCTCTTCTCCCTAGCTATGGGTTAATTAGTAAAATTTTATCTCCCAAAAAACTTTTACAATCTAAAAATATTTTCTGGCTTTAAATAACCTGCAAAGTATTGATAATCTATAGAAAATAAATCCATCAATATTCAGTTTAATTTGGAGTGATTTGATTCAATCATTTAGGTTTCATAAGCATAAGCATTCATAATAGATGAAGACAATCTTACTTTTATTAATAATGGTTCATTTTACTTTTCTCCATTCTGCACAAAAATGACATTTTCATAATGTTTAAGCACTGATGTATAATCCTTTTTTAATTCACATATCAAAACAACATAAAGATGGTTTATGATTTTCAGTACTTGATTTGGATATTTTGAGTATGTTAACTTTCTTCTGTCTTGCATAATGGTAATAATCCTGTCTTCATTTGATTGTTATTAATCTCATTAGGTTTATCTAACCATGGAGCATTACAGTCAGAAATCTCCAGCATGAAATTTCATAAATCTCAAATCCTTCACAGCAGTTTCTTTATAAATTGCACAACCATTTTTATATTTTTTGTCACATTTTTATGCTTATTAAAAAGCAAAAGCATAGTATGCTGAAAAATTTTTCTGCTGTTTTTAGTGTCAGAATCAGTAAACAAAACTTTGACAGATTTTTAATGAAAAGCAACACTAATATGGTAACTATTTTTGATACAATAAAAATAAATCTTTTTGAATGGCTCAATTGCAATGAGAAAAATAATTAAATCAAAAGAAAGAATGATTTCTATCTAATCAGATATCTTTAAAATTATCCACTATTTATTGTAAATATTTGCTTATTGCATTGTTTCCCATGTAATATTACAGAACTTATCTGTCCTTCACTAACCTATAATTTATACATGTCAAAGAGTAAGAAATGTGACTGGCTGGCTAGTGATACAAAATGGAAGTTGTCTTATTAGTTGGTGTCAATCTCTCAAAATATCTTCATATACACCAGCTTTCTATATTCTCTCGACATTTGTACCCTAGTCACATCATGTCAACTATCAATTAAGGCACTAATTCACTTCTCTTTTCTATATCTGCCAATGTATTCAGTTCATTGCTTAAACAGACTATTGACACATTCAAGTTCTGTAAATATGTAGATAAAGTATTTTCTCTCAAATATATATGCATGACCTTATCTGTTTTCACCCATGAACAAAGCGTTATATCTTTGGTATTGTAAGCTAAATTTATTTCCATTAGCCATTTCAAACTAAAATATACAATATTTCACAGTAGGTGCTTGGTCAATTATCATTTGAACAATCACAACTAAAATTTACCATCTATTTTATGTTTGAAATAGTATAATTTAATGGCAATTTCTTTTTATATAACTGTATGTTAACTCTTTAAGAACAATAATTAAAATATATTGTTTAACATTTGCTTTATAAATAGAAGTACTCAATATCAAAGATAGACCATTTATAGATATAGAGAGTATATACATAGGAATCAACACTGCTTGGTGACTTTCAGTTTCATACTTCAATGTGTTTGAGATTGCATTGAACTGTGAAAATAACAGTCACTATGCAGTGTTGATTCCTATATCCACACTATTTTAGAAACTTCAACATGTTTGTTAATGAATTGGCATTGTCAGAAAAATATTTTATTTCACAAGAACAAATTATACATTAGTGAGACAAAACCCGATTCACATTAAGCATCTGAAAGTTTGATTTTTTTTTTTTATCTAATTTCAGTTAATTTATTTGTTTTCAAGGTTTATGTATCCCATAATGATTCAGTACTAATTTAGTAAGAACGGGTGAGAAACTGAAATAGTTACAGTTATATATTAACTGTAGAAGACACAGATTATGACACTTCAATACATCTTCATCTAATTAAACTGTATTAAATTTTTATTTATTTATATTTGTATATTCTTTTCACTAAATATCATGTTTTCTCTTGCTAATGTAGATTTTGTTCATGTAAAATTCTTTTTCCAATGATACAAATTCATTGGTAAAACATGTTGAAGCAGAGATTTTGAAATTATCTAATATATTTATCATACTGTCAGATTCACATCTAACTTTATTCATATAATATATGCACACATACAATGGGGTGCTGAAAAATCTAACCAAATAACTGCACATAAGCATTTATTTTAATGACTTCTTGGTTGTGCTGAGAACTTTTCAGTACCTCTCCCACCAGACAGTATTGATTTTGTTTTCTTGTCTAAGATTACAGGGGCTATTCAGGATTTTTGAGGAGGTGGAAATCAAAATTAACTTGCTAGTTTAGCAAATCTCCCAAATAGTGAGTTCACTTTTTCAATATCCTGATTTATTCAAATGCTTATGACAAGTACAAAAGAGTTACAGATTCTGTAATAAATAAATATGCATGTGCGCACATATGATAAAAAGAAAAAAAATTGTATCTTTCAGATTTTCTTTTTCTAGATGTAATTTAATAAAATCTTAAAACTGCCAAAATCATTTAATGTTGATGAGGTTTACCAGGTTATAAAATCCCAATCTCTATAATTTACAAATGTGTCTGAGAGGACACTGAGGTCAACACTGAGCAGTGACACTCTGTTCTAGGCCTGCAGATTATCTTCAAGCATGAAACACTGTCACCATTTGTTGTTGACCTCCATGTCTGCTTTAATATCTATATATGCATAACCTCTGATATTTAACACATTTACCCATACCACAAGAAGCAAACCACTCATCAGCAGTAAGAATCAGAAGGCCAGATTGTAATTTGTAAGGAAGTACAGAGATGAGCAACAAAAGTTCTGGAAGAATATTTTATGGACTGATGAGACCAAGATTAATCACTGCCAAAGTGAAGAAAGGAAGGATTTGCTTATGATCTAAAGCATACAAGATCATCTGTGAAGCATGATGGAGGCAGCGTGTTGGCCTGGGCTTGCACGGCTACTTCCGGAACAGGCTCATTCATATTTATTGATGATGTAATAGTAGAATGAATTTAGAAGTCTACAGAAACATTTTGTCTGCCAATTTACAGAAAAATGCATCCAAACTAATCAGATGGAAGTTTATCATGCAGCAAGGCAATAACTCAAAAGATACTGCCAACACCACTAAGGATTTCATCAAAGAAAAAAAAAGTGACATTTGTAGATAGGCCAAGTCAATCACCAGACCATAACCCAATAAAGCATGCATTTCATTTCTTGAAGAGGAGACTGAAGGAAGACTCCCACCCAACCCCAGAATCAAACAAGAACTGAAAGAGGCTGTGTTAAAAGTCTGGAAAATGAAGAATGCAACAGTTTAGTGATGCCAGTGGGTTGCAGGCTTGATGTAGTTATTGGTAGCATGTGTAAATGTAACCAAATATAAAATGTTATTTACTTTAAAACTGTCTGTTCCTTGACTTTTGCTCAGCTAAAAATGGGGGTGATCTGATACAAATGGTCATATGTCCTAAGCTGTTTAACACATCTAAGATGAAACATTTCCAGTTGGCCAGTTTCAGATGTTTTTCATTGATTTCTGTCATTTAAAAGATCCATTTAGGAACAGTACTTGTCTGATTTTTGAAGAAAGAATTTAATAAACAATGCCCTTGCAATACCATGAGATTTACAGTACCATGTTTGGATGCAGATTAGATTTTGGACTGGTTAATGGGAGCTCATTTAATTTTCTCCAGGATCTTTTTTACTCCACATTGTGGTAAACAATCCATTTTTCATTGCCTGAAATTGGATGATTTATTTGAGTAAAGAATCGCAGATGTAAATGTGGTTTATTGAATGGTGAGGCACCCAAACATTTTAGTGATTCACATGTCCAAATATTTTCAAATTGGTGTAGTTTGGTATTTTCCACATTATTTCCCATACTGATTTTGTTTTTGAGGCAGAGCTTAGCTTGTTGACATATTTTTGCCAACATCTTTTTTGGCTTCTTTCACTGCTCTACAAGCCATAGTGCTATGTATCTAGTAATTATTTAAGTTTACTGTTGTAGGTTCTTTGTTAAATTTTTGTAATCTAATGGCTTGCAAGCATTTAATAAATTTTGTCTATTTGGTGTGGGATTTTGGGGGATACATTTCCTTGCTACGATGATTAGTATCTCTGTAAAGTCTTCTGCTGAATCTATATTGTTGTTTTGTGTTAAACTTTCTTCACAGAGTTCTTTGAATTTGTTCCAATTTGCTTTGTTCATTTTCCAGCAAGATATATTTTTGCTACTTCATTCGATATTTTCTAGGAGGATTGGGAAGTGGTCACTTCTATAAATGTCATCTTTTTATATCCCAAGAAAAGTCCAAATATATTGTTGGGTCGCATATAGTCAGATCAATGCCTGAATAGTTCTGTGAAAAATATATTATATATATATATATATATATATATATATATATATATATATATATATATATGCTCCTTTATTTAGTAGACATA